TCAGGCACAGCCGCTCTACATCCTGGGCCCGATTTGCCAGCCTTGAGATAAACTCTTGATGAAAGAATGTTGATGTGTTGATGGGCATCTTTTAACAAAAATATATATTCCTTCCAACAGTGCACTAACATATTTGTTTAAAATATTATATACTGAATGAACTGAAGCCACTTGGGAGAAATTCCTCCTGAGTGACAGATCATCTCCAAGACTCCCAGGAATTGGGTGAAGCAAATAGTAAGCTGAGCTGTTGGCACTAACATTCAAGAGCTTGTCTGATGTCTCTGTTCTGCAAAGTCAGGAGGGCACATCGCTCTTCAGATAGGAAACAGGAACTCAGTGGGTGGCTCCAAAAAGGGAGTGTGGGCTTTGAAACAGGAAAAGAAGTCTGCTTCTGATAGTCATGAAGAGGCAGTGCTGTGCCATTCTGACCACCCATATCCTATTAGGTCAAAATTTTGTTTTATATCTGTCATTATATTCTGTTTTTGGTTGCTTTATTTTAATTTCTAAGCACTGCATTACTTTCACATGTGTGTCTATTCTTTTGTTTTCATTTCAGGGAATGTCATCCATTTGTTTGTTCAAGTCAGAAACCAAGAAGTTATTTGACACTTCCTCTTTTTTCACTCACCACATCCAATCTTTCACCAGTTTCTTATGATTCTATCTCTACTGTATTTCTCTATTAACATAGTTTTCTTATCTTCCAGCATTTTAGTCTAAACCATCATTATTTCCTACCCACACTATTATAATAACCTATCCACTTTATTTTCTTATAACCATTCTTGTATCTGACCAAGTAATATTTTAAAAATTTAAATTGTCACTGGGCATGGTGGTATATACCTGTAATTCTAGCATTTAGAATGCTGAAGCAGGAGAACTGCCAGGAATTCAAGGCCAGCCTGGGCTACATAGTGAATTCAAAAATCAGCTGAAATTAGCAAAACTGTGTCTTAAATAAAAACGAAACAAATAAAAAAACCCCTAATTTAAATAAATGATGTTGGGCTAGGGATATAGCTCAGTAGCACAAGTTCCTGGTGAGCATAAGGTCTTGCATTCAATTCCCAGTACAAAACAAACAAACAAACAAACAAAAAACAAACAAACACAAAAACCAAGATGGCTCAGTAGAATAAGAGCCTGCCTGGCAAGTGCAAGGTCCTGAGTTCAATTCCCAGTACCGCAAGAAAAAAAAGACAATGTTATTTTTCATGATTTTTTTTTTCTGCTTACAGTCCAAAGTCTTTAATCTGACTTACAAAAGTTTGCAAGGTTTGACTCCTATTTCCTTCACCAACCCCACCTTTTGCCCATCTTTCCCCTTACTCCATACTTTAGTCACAGTGGCTCTTCTTTTCTCCTCTTCCTCTCCCCCTTTCTTTCTCTCTCTCTTTTTTTTTCTCCTCAGTTCTGGAATCCACCCCAAACCTTGTACACAGTACAAAATATTCTATCACTGAGTTACACCCTAAGTTTCTTTCTTTAAAGTTGTATAATGCTTTTTTGGTTCTTCTTTTTTCTCTTAGATCTTTCCAGATCTGAAATATTTGCATATTCCTTTCCCTGTACCTGCCTTTTCCTGCCGCTTTCACTTGGGTAATCCTACTCATCATGTAGGTCTCAGTTTAAATGTTTTTTTTTCCACAGACAGGCTCTTGTATAGCAGCCTCTTCTTTTTCTTTATAAGCTTATTACAATTGGCAGGGAACAAGAACTAAAAACAGATCAAGATATGATATGTATATGTACCAATTCCCTCTAATGAATATATTTATTATGTATTGTAAACATATACTAATAAAAAAGGAAAAAATAAACTTGTCACAATTAAGAATATGTGTGCATATATTCTGTGTCTTCCATTAAGAGAATAAGGCTTTGAGGTTATAGATAATGTTTGTGTCTAACATATATATTAGCCTTAGTAGAATGCCTATTATAGACCAGGAGCTCCTCATTTAAATAAACCATAATGGCTAGCACAGTAGTATGAAGTAGTTTTTTTTTTTTTTTTTAATGTAGTTAGCACAGGGTCTACAGGGTCTCTCACTACACAGATTGGACTCGTAGTGATCTTCCTGTTTTTAGCCTCCCAAGTACTGGGATTACAAGTGTACACTACCATGCCCAGTCTCAGTCACCATCTCATTGCGCTCCGGGAGTGGGTTGGCACGGCACACCAGGGATCAAACCCCGGTCCCTGTGTCTGCCTAAGCAGGTGTTTTAATCTGCTGAGCTATCTGGCTGGCCCTAGCTTTTTTTTTTTTTTTTTTTTTTTAGATAGGGTCTTGCTATGTAGTTCAGTCAGGCCTTGGCCTTGAACTTACTTTGTAGCCCAGGCTGGCCTTGAACTCATGGCAATCCTTTTACCTCAGTCTTCTGAGTGCTGGGATTACAGGTATGCACAAGAAAGTTTAAAAATATTACTTATGGAAAAATTTCTGTTGTAATTTGAATGTTAACCTTATAAAATAGAAGATTTTAAAGTTAGTACTATAGACTGAGTATGGTGTTGCATGCCTGTAGCTCCAACATTTAGGAGGCCGAGGAAGGAGGACCACCATGAGTTTGAGGCCAGCCTAGGCTACATAGTGAGTCCAAGCCAGTTTAAACTACATAGTAAGATCCTGTCTCAAACAGAAGATAGATAGATAGTTAGTTAGATAGATAGATAGATAGATAGATAGATAGATAGATAGATAGATACATTTAGTATGATATAATTAAATTCAGGACTTATGCTCTCTTATAACACTAAGTCAACAAAAGGAAGTCATATTTATTCCAGTCTTCCGAGTATTTCCAGTTTTTTTTTTTTTTTTTTTTGTCCTTTTGATGGTTGAGAAAGATACAGGATTAGGGAAGGATATCTGTTGCTTTTCTGTGGTTGGCACTTGAACACTCTCACCTGGGTACATGGCTACTCACCAACAGGCTGTGACACAGAGCATGAAAACGCTGCTGGTTTGTCTCCAGCTCATCCCAGTCCAGCTGCCAGCAGCTTGTGGGTCTAAGGATGAAGGGAAGCCCATATGTCAATGACTCGCAGAACCCACTAGATTTCAGGGCCCTAGGAAGAAGATGATGACAGAGAGTGACTCCTGAGTGACATTTAAAATCTCTACCTAGATCCAATTAAATGCAACTTAGCTCTAAGGGCCCACTGTGAAAGATTTTATATTAGGGCCTCTGAATTATTTGTCTCTGTACAGCCAGCATTTAACGTGGTATCTGATACACAGGAGACTCTCAAAACTCAGGAATTTATATATACGTGGGTCCTTTGGCACTAGAAAACAATAAAAATGGCCTTTGCAATCATTGTTAATTCTATGCTAGAACTGATTTTCCAGGAAGCAGAAATTCTAGTGCTTAGAGAAATGGGTGGGGGCCAGGGTAGGTTCTGTGTGCGCTTGCTCCTTGAAGGTTGGAGCTCTTATACTGATATCTAACCATAATAGGCATTCCATAAGCATTCATTAAATGGTTAAACACCTTTCTACTGATCTTGCTCTTAAAGACTTGTGCTCAGAGACTTTTATGGATTTTCAACTCTCATGCAGTCTGCCAAGTGTTCTTCTGCAACATTTCTTTAATCATCTGCTTTGGCCTCCACATGCTAAGTAACCTGACTTACATTTTTCAAGTTGTACCTGTTACCTCAAAATTGATACTTTTTTTTTTCCAATGTGGATTCTTGCCTGCCTAAATCTTTGGACCTCCTAGTCATGGAGCTAGTAAGAATAGCATGTGCATGGATTGGGAAGCTTCCCTTGGCGCATACTTGATCACTCGGAGCTTGTGATGAGAAGCTGATGACTGAGAAGCCATCTGGTAAAGTGTGCTGAAGTCTCCTTTGGGGTCATCCATCCTCAAATAGCCATCAGCTGTACCAGGGAGCAGGGACGGGCTGAGAAGTCGTTCCTGGATATCACATTTCAAGTGCACTACAATAAAAGCAAGATTGGAGGAGAATGGATGAGTCACAAGTTACCTCAGGCTATGTTAGTAAGAGACATCTGTCATTTTACTTCTACCAGGCAATCAAAGGATGGGAGGAGGCAGGAGAATGGGAAGAAGAAAATATGATTGGTTTGGGAAGAAAAATCTCATCTGCAACCCATAGCATGTCTATAGCTCTACACAATTGTTTACTTATTTTCAGAATCTGAAATTAATTTTACTTGTTTTACTTTTGGGGTGGGCAGAGCAAGTATCTTGTGAGATCTGGCTTGTAATCCAGTCTGAGAGGAAGATGCATCCTTTGTGAAACAGTCAGCTAATGTTAAAATATGCAGGGGCCCTTCTGTAGTCACAGAAGGAAATTTGCCTCTCATGCTTCCCTGTGGTTAAGCTTTGGCAAGACTGCAAGCCTGATGAAGGAAGAGCAGGAAAGCAGAAGTCAGGCAATCAGCTGACTGCTACTGCTTCTTTGTGGGCTCTTCTAGGGACGTTCAGGGTTATGGGAGGAACAAGTTCCTTAAACAGCTTATTTGTAATTCCCCTCAAAACATGAGTGTAGGACCTTCTGGGCCTCAGTGCATCACTTTAACATTAGACTATAGTTCTGAAGAGGGCATTAGGTTGAATATGAGCTATTAATGCAACATGTAGGTCTTAGGCTTTTTTTTTTTTTTTTTTTTTTTTTTTGACAGTACCTGGGACCAAACTCAGGACCTTGCACTTGCCAGGCAGGCACTTATGCTGCTGAGCTGTCTCCCTTGCCCCAAAATTGGAGAAGGATTTTTTTTTTTGGCTAGTTCTGGCTGCCTTAAGGGCAGGTATGGTGTGGCTTGTGGGGCTGGGGATCAAACTGTGGTCCCCTGCACTTGACTGCACTTGCCCAAGCAGCACTTTAAACAACTGAGCTATTGGGCAAGCCTCCATTGGTCTTAGGTATTGAGCTTCTGCTCCAGGAGTTATCTTCATATCCCAGAGGGTAAAATGTGGTATTTCACTAGGATTTTTTTTTATTTTTTATTTTTATTTTTTATTTAGTACAGGGTCTACAAGACCTTACTACATAGATCAGATTCACAGTGGCTCTCCTGTTTTCAGCCTCCCAAGCACTGCACTGGGATTACAGATGTGCCACCACACTGTCTCAATGGCCATCTCAGCATGTCCTGGGGGAGGGGCCTGCACAGCATGCTGGGGATCAAACCCTGACTGCTGCAATCTGCCTAAGCAGGTGCTTTAGTCCGCTGAGCTATCTGGCCAGCCCTCTCACTAGGTTTAAATTCTTGATACTACAAAGTTTTTGAATAAAATGCATACTTGGTTTGAAGACTAAGCAAACTGGCAAATATAAAAAGGTTGAGTATTTGTGAGAGGCAGTAGTTAATGGTAAGGATTTGGGAAACAACTGGGTTAATTGCAGCATAAGGTAAAAACAAACATAGACATTGCATGAAAAAACAGAGTGGCAGATCTAGCTGCCTATCCTGGCTGGACATTAAATTTTGGGTAGGATGGCTCTTGGTCTGGTATATACCACAGCCTGGGAAGTCAAGAAGGGAGACTTTGCCTAGGACTCTGGCTCCCCCAGATTTTCTCTCTGTGATGTCTTAATTTCTTGTCCCTAGTCTTGAGGCTCAGGCACCTGCATCCATCTGGCTGCAGTAAGAATCACTGAGAACTTTAAAAAATACTGATGTGAAAAAAATAAATAAAAAGAATACTGATGCATGTATTCTCAACTCAGACCAATTAAATCAGGATTTCTGGAGGTGGAGCTTAGTTGTAAATATTTTCAAAAAATTCCTTATCTGTTTTTTATTGCAATCAGGATGAGAATTACTTGAATTATTGTATAACCAGTGCTCCAAAGCTGGGGAAGCTCTTTAGCAGGGCTCAAATACAGACCCAGGTGCACTTCTTACCACCTATGGTTCAGTGCAGAGGTGGCAAAGCCTGCACCAGAGAATAAGAAAAGATACTCAGCAATAACTGTCTATGGATTTTTGTCTGCCAGAAAGAGGCCTCTAAAGGAAGTGTCTACAGATGGGGAGAAGGGCCCTAGGCAGCCCAGAAGCAGGTGCTGTGTGCTAGAGAGGCTTTTAAGGGGTCAAAGTAAACATCTGAGGATCATTCTTCCAAGGAGCCAATATTAGGAGTGCTCACGGCTTTTGTGTTTGCTTCATTTTTTTTTTTTTTTTTGTAGTGAGCCATGTGTCCAGAAATTCACATGTGAGGCAGTGCCTCGGCTTAAAAAAAATAACAGATAGCTATAGTATGATTTTTATTGTGATTGCTTATAATTTCAGGTAGGTCATATCTGCCCTAGGAGAGGTCTGATTTCCCTAGAACTCATTCCAGTTGTGCCTGGGTCTCTGGATTCCAGTGGACCTCCACAGCAGAAAAGCTTGCAGAAGTCTCAATGTAAGTTTTACATGCACCTTAAAGATGTGCAGACTTCTGAAATATTACAGATGAACATTCTGGCTCTGACCCTGGTGCTGAAAGCCCTGGGAAGAGGATATGGGGGAAGACAGAGAAATTCTGGTTAAAATGATGGGCAGATGTTATGTAATAGTGGAGGAAAGGCTGGTTGCAGGAGTTCCTGGTCTTTGAGGGCCCCAGACCTTCCTTTGAAAGAAGTAAATTACTATCCCTTTTGTTCAGAGTTGTCTGGATGCAGCATGTTAGTGCTTGGTAAGGCCAAGGTTCTGGAGGTAGGTAGGCCTGGTTTGGTTCTCTGAGCTGAGAGTGGCCAAATGTACAAAACACAGATTTCTGAGCTTCACATAATGGAGCATGCCTGTAATCCCATCTACTCGAGGAGGCAGAAGCAGGATTGCAAGTTCAGTGATAGCCTGTGTAACTTAACAAGATCCCATCTTGAAATAAAAAGAGCTGAGGATATAACTCAGTGGTAGATGCATGAAGTCTTGGGTTCAAACACACATATATGAGGTAGTTAAGATAGTTATAATACTAATTTCTTTAGTACATTGAAAAGAAATGTTTGTGTTAATATTGTTTTGACAATTAAATGCTGATCTCTCTCTCTCTCTCTCTCTCTCTCTCTCTCTCTCTCTCTCTCTCTTCCTTTTGGAGGCAGGGTCTCACTATGCAGATCAGTCTGGAACTCGCA